CTGTCCTAAGACGCACCTCCGACACACGCACGATAGATGCTGGTTAGAACGAAGTTCAGCACATAAATCGCGGTATTATAAACAGACGTCCCACACGCAGCAGATGCCACACACTCACCAAATGACGCCAGTCCCTTTTCGCGTACGCGATCACCCCCTCGTGGCCACCGCTCCAGGGCCTTCCCCGTGGCCGTAAAACCTCCCACGCCTCTCGTGGGGTCCACGAAACAACTGCATCCGTTTATGACGCGGTACAGACGGAGAACAGCGCAGCGCAGCGAACAACCCGTCCAGCTGGCTTCAGCTGAGTGCAGATGTGGTCGGACTCGGAGATTTTCATATTACCCGCGTGAGGCTCGTGCTTCCTAAAGCGATCTCACTGGATTCAGTCTGACATAAAGCCAATGCAATTTTGGCGTCACCGTGTGCACAATATAATTTAATATGCCTCAAACGCCTTCATTTAGCTTTATCTACCGCATACTAATAGCAATAAATAAGGCTCACTTCGCATCCGTCAGTCGCCCTAAATACCAGAGTCCAGACAGGAACAGGCAAGGTCGGAGGAGCCCGGTCTGGACCGGACGTTGCGGCATGGGACTGGGCAGTGCCGCACGGGACCTGACGCAATGGGACGGGACCGAACAAAGGCGAACGGGACTGGTTCGGACTTGACGGGACTGAACGAGGCTAGAAAAAAATGGGCAACCCAGGGGACTAGTCGACCAAACCAGTCCTTTGGACAGGGCGTGACCAGACGATGCTAGACCGGATAGAGCCAGACAAAGACAGATAGAATCATAAGACAGACCTAGTCCGTTCCAGGCCGGTCTCATCCCGCTCCCGTTGTGTCCAGCCTAGCTTCTTGTTATCACATCTCTTGCCCTTCCATATCATTCCATAGTATTACATCCTATCTGGTCCCGTCGGTCTCCGTACAGTCACGCCTAGTCCCATGCCTCGTCCGGTTCGATTCGATCCCATCAAGTCTAGTCTGACTGCCCCCATCAGTCTCCTCCGGTCACATCCTGCCCCTCCTGTTCTGGCCCGCCCAGACCCCTCTGGTCTGGTCTGGAATGATCCTGTCCTGTCCCGTCTGAGCCATGTTCCAACTCCCATATCATTTCGTCCGGTCCGCTTCCGTCTGGTTCTGTGTTTCCCCGTTCTGTCCCGCCCGGTTCCCTTCGGTCACCACCCGCTTGCTAGGGGCCACTTTTGTGACGGAAAGCACCCAGACTGAACCAGGGGCGGTCTGCCTGGCACAGACCCGCTGCATCACCACGGGCAGATTGGCGGTGGTTTTGTGGCGTCATCGTACAACCGCGGAATTATCCGCGACCTTCACTATTCGCAGATAATCAGCTGACAACCATCCTGTAAATTGTACGTTGATATGATCAAGCCTTGTTGATGCCTCTGTTCAATGGCCTCGGATATGATGCTGTTCGGTGGCAGGTGCGAGGGGTGACGCTATTTATTGTCATTACATGACACATAGACCAGAATGACCGTGCTAACGACATTGATAAATGTCTGAAGCATCCACTGTCAACCATATTGCATGGGTTGCGTCCTAGACTTATTTGATTTAGGTTGTTTCTGGCCCGGACCCCTGGCGTACATTTGGTGAATGGATAGGACACCGGCTATGGATTGTTGGGCATTCATTTGCAGACTGGAGCTTATACTCTTGCGCTACAATGTAATGTTTCAGTTGTCAGATGGACATAACTTCAGTTTGTGAGGCTAGATACAGAACTATCTCACTGTCCAGGGTGGTGAAGAGGTGGAGCATCATTCTGTTTTTCATCTTCCCTGTGTTATCCAATTTTTGGGCTTATTTGCAATTAAAATGAGCAATTTTGTGAACAGTTTAGGTCAAATTGGCAATAAAACATGTGATTTCATCATATTGCTGTCAGGCTTCTTACAGAGTGCCAGTGACTGCTTGGCCATATCAGAGCCTAGGGATCTAGGAGCAACCGGATTTTGAACCTGGGCTCTCCATCTGGTAGTCTGATGCACTAACCAGACTTGAATTGGTAGGAAAATAAGTATGCAATTAAATCTTGACAATGAATTTCAATCATGTATTTTTGTGCCCCAGGCATTAAGGGAGGAGTAATTATTCTCTGACATAGGCAATTCCAAATCTCACCATGTCTTCCCTATTTCCTTTCACATGCTACTCCAACATGAGTGAAATTGGTGCAGGCCACTGCTATTTGACATGTTTTTGTTGGTGTTGGGTTTATGCCTCAGGAAAGTTTGCTTTTTCAGATGGCATTAGAACAAAGTTGCTATTGACTTGAGAACCAGCAATGGCATCTTCAAGTGTAAGTATTTGCATGCGTGCTCAGTCATGTTGAAACTTGCACAGTATGAGTATGAGTATCATAATCATGTAATGGAGGTGCAGTGTGTGGTGATATAATTAATTATGATACATGATGTAATTCAATTGTCTTGTTTGGAATGAGCATTATTCTGAACTATGCATGCCATGTTATTACAACACTAGAAAGCAATCATAACATGTTTAGGCTATATATTTAAGTAAAATTGTTTTGCTTTAGGTTTTACTAGGATACCAGGATATTTTTATATCAATTTTCACATTCAAAGTTTTGCATCTGAGTATTGTTATGCCAAATAAAATATGAGTCAATGGGAAGCAGTTGAAAAACCAGACAGGTTGTTGGTGAGGCATTGTCAGCTTGCATACTGTCAGTACATGCAGCCTTGCTGCCAAATGACATATAAACATCTCAGGCCAGGGCAAATGTGTGATCTTGCCAAAGATGTCATGTGAATCTCCAAAGCACCAGTGCATGTATGACCTCACCATCCAGTGACCTGTGCATCTGTCTGGCCACAGAAGGCAGAGGACCACCGGCGTAAGTGGGACCGGGACGAGTATGAGTCAATCGCAGCACAGCGGTTGGCCGAGGAGGAGGCGCGCCGCGAGGCGGCCGACGAGAAGGGGCCGCCCGTGCAGCGCGAGCTTCTCCGCCAGCGCGAGTACAAGGTGGACCTGGACAGCCGGCTCGGCAAGAGCGTCGTCATCACCAAGACCACGCCGGCCTCGCAGTCGGGCGGGTCAGTCGGGCGGGCGGGCGGCGCGGCCGACGCCGAGACCGAGTGTCGACGCTCGCGAGCCAGTGGTAGTAATCGGTGAAGTTATACCATTGTCGAGACCGCCCACAGGCGTGTTCATCAGGGAGAATCATGTGACAAGTTGTGTGGCTGGCTAGCGTGGAATGTAATATGTGAACGGCATGCTAAGATGTGGCTGATGTGTTTTTCCCTGGTTTATGGCCGATGAGTTTTAGCGCTTAAGAGTTATTTGCCTGTTATCCATTTGAACAAGATTTAATGTTGCTTCTTTTGTCCCGCAGGTACTACTGTAATGTTTGTGACTGCGTGGTGAAGGATTCCATCAACTTCTTGGACCACATAAATGGAAAGAAACGTAAGTTGCCCCTTAATCTGATCCACCTTACTGATGACACTGAGGTACAAATATGGGCGACAGATGACGTAAGGTCTGGTGAAAAGCCGCGCGGTGGGCATTAAGGTTAAGGCATGTGCTTCCGTGCAATGTGTGCAAGCGTGACGCAAAGTTCCAAATAGTCGGAGCGCGTCCGCTCCGTCCTTCCCTTTCCCCTATGGAGTGGTTGATGTTGAGACCACACCAGTGCGATGTGCATCAGTTGATAACGTGCACATGTCCGCGTTTTGTTGTCGGGTAACCTTCAACGATATTGTTCCACCGTGATGTTGTTTTCTCTTGTATTGGATTAGCGCGTAAAGGTTTGCTTCGCGGTGCATTATTGCACGTTCAGGAGAACACGTTTTCGCCCAGCCTCTTCTAACCCTGTTCTTTTTTGTTCTATCGGCGAACAGACCAGAGAAACTTGGGCATGTCGATGCGGGTGGAGCGCTCGTCTCTTGACCAGGTCAGGAAGAGGTTCGACATGAATAAGCGGAAACGGGAGGAGCAGAAGAAAGAATACGACATGGAAGAACGGCTAAACGAGATCAGGGAAGAGGTAAGCCACTGGTGCTTTTTATGTTTTAGTCATGTTATGTTCCGCCCTGAAATACTCGCTTGTCTTACCGTCCATGTTGGATATGCGGCATTACGAGTCTTGTCAACTGCATTGGAGCCGGTATCTGCCGCGCTGCCAATGGCTTGCCTTGCCGACGGTTAGCTGTGGTGAAGGAGGCGGCAAGCGGCCGTGGGCATGCCTGCGCTCACGCGCCGCCCCCCGCTGGCAGGAGGAGAAACAGAAGGAGTACCGGCGCGAGCGGCGCAAGGACAAGAAGCGTCGCACGGCGGACGCGGCAGACGACGAGCCTGTCAACCCCCAGCTGGCTGCCATGATGGGCTTCTCGGGCTTCGGCGGCGCCAAGAAGTGAGCCGCCGCGCACTTGAGATGTGCAGGGCGGCGGGCCGGCGCTGGCGCCGCGCTCCGGCACGCGCCGCGTAGGTCTCATACTGAGCGCCGCGCAGCATCGGACAGACCGGCGCGAGCGGCTCACACAGCCAGGCGCGAGCGGCGCCGATGGCCAGGCGCGAGCGCCCCAGACGAGCAGGCGCGCGCAGCAGTTGGCGGTGCAGTGCGAGTATCTCGCACGACCGGATGGCGCATGGCAAGGCTACAGGACCTTGTCTTAAGATTTCGAATCCGCGCCCTCGACGCGCCGCGGGGAGGAGCGGGCTGTCTTGTCAGGCTGGTACTGTGCTCGTGGACATGAGTGCAGTGCCACCCGCGTGCAGTAACTGGTCTCGCAGTGTCATGTTCGTGTGCCCGGGAGGATAATTCATGCGACGTTCTGACAATCGTGCACTTCGCGTTTGCGACGAACCCGAGCCCAACCGTGTGTCTAGTGCATCGATACTTCATGTCCGACATTTGCCAGCCGCCCGTATTGCAGAGAAAGAACAATGCATCAACATATCTCACGCATTACGGCTCGGTAACCAAAACGAATTGTTTCAAATACTGACTATATTTCTCAGTTGTATGTGCAAAAGCACGGTGACAGCGTCTGCGTCCTACCACAAGCAGATGGCCACCCGCGGCCGGGCGGCCAATGAAATAATCAAATCATAGCTAATGACTTCATGGACAAGGATGAAACACGTGACCCAATGTGGGCTCTCGGCGCACCGACCGTTCAGTGCACAGGGCTGCAACACGTCCAGCAGCAGCTCAGCGATGCGTCCTAAACATTCACAATTGCAAACGTTTTACTGAGGCCCATCGTCACATTTTTGTTTTGACGGAGGAACCCGGCTTCGACGTTCCCCGCGTCAAACTCGCCTTCTTGTTGGAGTATTTGAACTTCGTCACATACCCGATCACGAGGGATTGTATCTTCTGAGCGTTGATTTCCCCGGATTTGCTGTGACATATCTGTAGCAGATCATGCCAATGTTAGAATTCTGACATGGGATTCAGATGCTTTGCCAACTTAAAGTTAGGGGACCCACCGATGCTCTGGTGGTCCAACATGGTGCTGAACTGGCGGGCGAAGGGGGGGGGGGCAAAACAATCACTCAGGCGTTTATCACGTGAACAACGGTTGTCGCTGCCAAGGGGACGGGCACGGAGGCTCTTCCCCTTAGTGCCGTTGACCCTGATGGTAGTGGGAATAATCATCCACGCGCACGCGCCGGATCCTTGGGCCCTTACAGCCAATCCCAGAGCCAGCATCGTGGTCACGTGCCAAGTGTGTGTATCCACACGTTTCACATTCAATGCCGACGTCCACATTTACATAATGGGTTCGTGCATTCACACGGCCAGTTGTTCCCACAACCCCCGTAGTAGATACCTTTTCAACACGCGTAGACACTACACTCAGCGATGAAACGATCACTGCCATTCATGAATAAACTATCCGAGAGGGTCAGTTTCCGTCGGGCACCGGGTCAAGGATAGCTGTCGACGGAGGGCGGCGGGTCCGAATACAGTCAGAGCGCCCGGCTAGTCCGTCCAGCTCAGGTTCAAGGCCCCCGGCCGGGCCGACGCGGCTGCCCGCCCGCCGGCGGCCTCGCTCACCTTGGTCACCGATTTGCCCAGGATCTCCTTGTACTGGTCTTTGGTGATGGAGCGCTTGTGGTAGTAAGGCTTCAGCACCATCTTCACCTCCTCCACCACCCGCTCCTGGCGATTCAACTTCTTTAGGAACTGAAATGAGTCCTGGGGCGTCACAGAGCGGCAAATGTCATGCTGCTCTCAATATGCAGCGCATCAGCGGAAATGCGTAACTTTTCCTTCCGCTATCTGCGGTGTAGGACAATCGTTGATTTTCGGTAGAAGATTGCAAAGAGAAAGGCGATGGTAGAAAAGCGTTGTACGCGCAGATGTCCCTGATCATTATTTGCTTGGGAAGACAAACAGCACGGTAGCATACACGTGGAAGACGAAATATAACTAATGAAGTTCTGGCTTGTGCTTCGGGCCATCTGCAAACCTGCGTCGCCCACACCACGCCGAATAAGTACACTTCCACACCCGAGCTGCACACGAGGGGGCTCGTTCGTACGCGCCGTCGTCCCCACGCCCTCGCCCCAGGCGTTGCGTCTGCCTGCACGCCGCAGCACCGGCGGCGGAGCTCTGGCGCTGCACTCTGCCGCCGCCGGCTCACCTTCTCTTTGACCAGCATCTCGACCGCCGAGCTGGGCACGTCGTCCACCACCTCCAGCGTGGCGTTGGTCAGACTGGCCGAGGAGAGCGTCTTGTCGGCTGCCGGGCGGCGGCGGCGCACGTGTCAGAGGTCACCGGCGGCCGGTTCAGTGGTGGTACCCCAGGCGCCATGCGAGCTCCGTTCAAAGCCTCGGCATACGACTTCGGCCAGCGGCCGAATGCCGCGACGCCGACAGCCGCAACCGGCGCACGAAATGCCAAGCCACCGTGTTTCTCCTGATATGAACACGTGAAGACCACACTCGCCACTTGGTACCGACACGTACTAACACGTACCTCGTTTGACGTGCTTCTTGATCTGGCGCGCCTGCCTCTGGCTGGCGGTGCCGCCGCCCCTGCTGGCTATGCGCGTCGGCTCGGAGCCGAAGAGCTCATCAAAGCGCGACTGCAGCTCCGGTGGCGATGCGGCGGCGGCGGCGGCGGCGGCGGCAGTGGAGGCGGCGGCGGCTGAGGCGGCAGGCGCGGACAAGGCGGCCTGCGCCGGGGCGGCCGGCGGCCGCGGCGGCTCGAACAGGTCGTCGCCGTCGTCCGGGTCGGGCGAGCGCGGCGACTCGGGCGAGCCGGGCGAGTCGAGGTCCATGTCGACCGGCGGCGGGGCGGCCGGGCTGGGCGCGGCCGGCGCCGGCGCCGGCACCGGTGCCGCCCGCGCCACGTCCGACACGGCCGCGGCCAGGCTGGCCAGCCCCGTCAGCAGACTCTGTACGCACGGACATGGGCCCCGATCAACAGGCTGAGCTGACATGCGGGTCCCTCTCACAGGAGTGCACGCACCAAGTCCTCTCACTCACACTCTGCACGCTCGGCGCCCTCAGGCATGGCATGGCGGTCCCGTCTGCAAAATGGCAGGACAGGTACCGCCCCAGTCAACAAACACGGCACGGACAGAGGCCAGTCGGCCGACTGCACGGACACAGCCCTGCTGCTAGTTGTGAGAACAAACGAGGCTCAGAAGGCAAGGCAGACACCGCTCCGACAGCGTCCCGTCAGAGAACGCAGAGGTCACGATCGCGCACACAACACTTCACAACATTTGCGCAGGCAGGAGCGGCCAACATCAGCGGACCCTGCGGGCATGGTTCTACAAACAAACAGGTCAGGCCCAGGCGCCAACAGACACATCCGGCTCTGCACGAGTAAGCACGCAAGAACGGTACGAACAAAACAGCTCAAAGCTTAACTGCACGGATGCAAAGTACGCCAGAGCGATGATAAATACGTCTCCATTATGATGCATACAATATCGCAACCAAAATGCGAAACAATAATATTCTTCCTCATGGCATAACACACAAACAGCGAAACATAAAGTGGTAATCGATACCCCGGATTTCGCACGTCCACACGTCGACAGGCACACCAGCACACGGCACGCACTCGTAGCCGACAGCAAGGAGTGTGTGTGTGTGGGGGGGGGGGGGGGCATCACATCACAGCTGAGGCATCGACAACCTCACTGACCAGACTAATGGTGGGTTGGGCTGACGGCGCCTTGGTCGGACTGACGGACGGCGCGCGGCGCGGCGCGGCGGCCAGCGCCGCCTGCTCCTCCGTCGCTCGTTCCGACGATAGCGGCGGGTGGCGAGCCGCTGGCGCTGGCCGAGCCCGAGTGGGTCGGCTCGAACGGGTCGTACCGCTCGACGGCGCTACCGTCAGCCGGCGCCGGCCCGGGCGGTGTGCATGGCCCGCGCCCCGCCGCCGGCGCCGGCGCCGCCTCGGCCGCCCGCTCCGGCGGCGTCTGCGGACCGCGCGGTTGCCGGCGGCGACGGAGGCGGCGGCGCCGCAGCATCCGCCGCTGCCGCTGCCGCTGCCACCGCCGCCGCCGCCGCCGCCGGAGATGCAGCGCCAGACACCCGCTCTTGCTTCGGCTCGACGGGCGGCAGCGGCGGCGTTTCGCCGTCGCCGTCCGAGTCGGTGATGACGATTGCCTCTTCGCGCGGCGGCGTCAGCTCCACCACGTCGTCGCCGTCACTCTCGACCGGCGCCGGCGCCGGCGAGCTGCGCCAGTCCGAGCGCGACCACGAGCGCGAGCGCGAGCGCGACCAGGAGCGCCGCGGCCGCGCCGGCAAGCGGCCCAGGCCCCTGCGCCGCCGCGCTGGCGACTGCGAGCGGCTCCGGCTGCGCGAGCGACGGGCGGAGCGGGGCCGCGGCGAGCGCCGGCCGCTCCGGGAGCTCCGGCTCCGCCGCGGCGAGCCGGTCCGGGAGGCCTCCCGGCGCCAGCTGCCGGCGCGGCGCTCGCGGCTGCGGCGGCGCCGAGACTCGCCCCGCGACGGACTGCGCGCGGCAGGTGACCGACGCCGTCCTCTGGCCGACGTTGGCCTCGTGGCGTCTTCTGAACGTTCGCGCGCGGGAGACGCCTCCCTCGAGCGGCGTCTTTTATTGGCAGCTTTATCGTTTGAGCTTGTAACGTCCATGTCCTTTGAGACTTTGCGAGCCGGCAATCCATTATCAACGCGGGCTTTAACTGATTTTGATGGTGGCGATGCGTCACGTTTCTTTAAACTCTTCCTGTCTGTGTCGGACGAGCTGTCCCGGTTCCGTGCCTTCTGCCGCCTTCTATCTCTGTCCGACGAACTCTCCATTCTACATATCTTCTTTTTCGTTCCTTCTTCGTCGGATGAGCTCTCTCTACCACCTCTCTTCTCGGTCTTTCTAAATTTGTCGGGTAGACTGTCTTGACCTCTTTTCCTCCTGTCCTCTCTGTCACTATCGGACGAGCTGTCCCGACAAACCCTCTTTTTGCTTCGATTTCTGTCGGATGAGCTCCCTCGACCTATTATCCTCTTGCTCTTCCTCTCCTTTTCGATAGAGCCGTCTCGATCCCGTTTCTTCCTGTTCCTTTTATCTTTATCGGAAGAGCTGTCTCGACCACCTTTCTTTCTGTTCTTTTTACCTCTGTCGGGCGAGCTATCCCTAGCTGCTTTCTTCCTACCCTTCCTACTTTTCTCGGACGAGTCTTCAAGGTCTTTCTTCTTTTTCGTTTTCGCCTCCTTATCAGACGAGCCACCCCGATCCCTCCACTTCCTCACGTTGCCATCGGAGTCCGAGGAGTCGCTCCGCGTGGATTTTCCTTTCTTGACTTTTTTCGGCGGGGGCGACGGTGCGCGCGCCTTCCTGTGGGCGTCGTCGGAGCGCCTGCCGGCCGACAGGCCGGAAGGGTCGCGCGGTGAGTGGGAGCGCCGGGACCGGCTGGCGTCGCGGCTACGGTCCGCCGAGCGTCGCCGACCGGCGCGGACCGAGCGCCGCGAGCGCCGGCCAGTCGAGCTGGCCGAGCTAGACGACCTGGAGGAGGAGCTGGAGGAGCGGGTGCGCCTGCTGGGCGAGCCACGACGCTTTGTCTTGTTCTTTCGGCTCTGATGGTCCCGCACAGCCGTTCGCACATCGCCGTGTTCCTTCGATTCGATGTTCTTATTCTTTCCATCCTCGGAATAGGAAACGTCCTTTGACCTGCCGTTCTTCGCGCTATCCTCTTCCTCGTTACGTGTCTTGTGCTTACTCTTCCAGTCGCACAAATCGTCCTTTGCATTTTCGTTTTTACCCTGAGTTTCGTCACTGCTCACAGCATCAATCCTACCTGACGTGCTGCTGCGGTAGTTTCTGTCACGACCGCTCTTCATCGGCTTTTTCCAGCTGCTGCCATTACGTCCAGATTCGTCGTTATCGGTGACCGCTTTTTCATCTGACGTTGAATCGATCACCTTCCAGAGGGGGCGATCGTCACTGTTCGCCGACACCCGTGCCAGCCCGCATTCATCACGGCCTGGTGAACCCCGCTCACTGCTGCCCTTCGGAATCTCCGCGCGCGAGGAATCACTGCCGACCCCCGTCCGTGGCGTCCGCTCGTCGGGCACCGGCCGGTCCGAGCGGGCAGTGGCCGCGCCCCCTGCCGTCGACCCGGCGGCGGGCGAGCCCAGCCGGCCTCGGCCCGGCTCTGGCGACCCGAAAATGGCCTCAATGTCACGCTCCACACGGCCACTGTCCGGCTCCGGCGGTCCGAACATGTCCACCAGACCGCGCTCCACCGCCCGCAGCGGGCTGGCGGTCGGGCGCGGCGCCGGCGCCGGCGTCGCCGCCGCGGCCGTCACGTCGCCGGCCGGCATTAACGGGATGGAGATAGGCGGCATGAGCCGGCGCCGCCCACTAGCCGCCGGCTTGGAGAGCGCCGCCAGCGCCACCAGATGGCGCCGCTCCGGCGCCGGCGCGGCGATGGGCGGCGCCGCCGGCAGTGTCGGCCCGCTGCCGGGCCGCGGCTCGGGCGGCGACGCCGCCGGCCGGTCGTCGATCTCCAGGGACGCGTCCGACGAGGCGTCGCTGGCGGCCGAGCGCGCGGCCGGCGCTGGGGGTCGGCCGGGCAATGCCGCCGGTCCGGCCGCCGGCCACTCGCCGGCGCTGTCGCACTCGTCCGAGTCGGCCGGCGGGGCCACCCCCGGCAGCTCAATGTCGCTGTAAAGGTCCGTCTCGTCCTCCTTGGCCGCCTTCTGGGCGCCCGGCCGAAGCCGCGCGTCGGCTCCGCACGGCTGGCTGATCACGGGCGCGGCAGGGCCGGCGCCGTCCGCCGGCGAGCCGCTGCCGCTGCCGCTCGAAGAGTGCCGGAGGTAGCTGGCGTAGGCCTCGGCGCCGCGCGGATCACTCTCGCTCGCGGCCGGCGAACGGGCGGAAGGTGACCCGTTGCCACCGCCGGCCGGGACCGCGGCGCCGGAGGTCGGGTCGCCGCCCGCCAGGCCGCCGCCGGCCGTCCAGCCGGTGACGGGCGGCGGCTGCGGCGGCGGCGCGGACGTGGCGGTCGCGCCGCCCTGCGGCCGGCCGGGGGCGGACCGCACCAGCAGCCGGCCGTCCCGTTCGATGGCCACGTCAGCGCCGCGCGCGTGCAGCAGCGACTGAGACGCCAGGATCGAGTGCAGCACGTCGCCGCCGACCGGACGGGCGGCTGGCGGCGGGCAGGGCGGCACTGTCGGCCGCGCCCGACGCTTCAGCCGCGCCACGATTTCGGCGCGCGAGAGCGGCCGCCGCCGCGCCGCCGCCGTTGTCGAGCCCCGCTCGTCAGAGTCGCTGGCGCCGCTCAGGTGGAGCAGGTCGTCACGCCGTCCGAACAGGTGCAGAGTGGGTAGGCCGTCCCCGTACCGCGGGCCGCCGGCGCCGGCGCCCGGACCGCCCCGCTCCGCTCGACCGGCGCGCATCACAGGTGGCGCCATCTGCCCGCACGACCACAAACGTCGTCACACAAGGCACCAACACAGCCAACCTGTAGCCAGCGATTGTGCTACTTGGGTGGCTGAACCCACGTGACTGTGTTAAAGTCAAGCGGGATCTAGCACGGCAAAAATTCGACACGTCCAGGCACCAACAACACAAAAATCGAAACGCTTCCACCGCATGACATTTCGAGCAGTTGAGGTATAGACGGTCGTCACGCACCTGGCCGGGCTTCATGCGCCGGATGGCCAGCAGGCGGCGCAGGCTCTCACGCGTGCGCTCGTACGGGTCGGGCTCGGCCGGGGCGCGCCTCTGTCGACGCAGAGACCAGCGCACCGGTTAGTGGCACGGTGCGGCCGACAGCAGGCCACGCGCGACCGGCGTCACGTTCGCCAGGGGTGCTGGTGGTTCACGGGGTGGACCGGTCTCATCTCGATAGAGAAAGGGGAAACGGGAAGTCGAGGTATGGCAACACGTCCCCGGTTCGCATGTTACATGTCAAATAGCGATGCCCACATAACTATGGTAAAGCAGCTTACAGTAACGTGTCGCCAAATTGTGTTGCTGTTACCAGCAGAAAGACAATTGCTTTATGCCCCCTTCCTCCCCTCACTCTGGTACCAATTCATTCCGTTAAGCTGCAAGCAGCGTGCTTCTGCAGCCCTATGATTTCTCTCACCGCTTTTGTCTTTTTCCGACCAGCTTTCTTTTTCTTGCGGCGCGTTTTGGTCTTGCCCCGACCGCGGGTGGACTTAGAGCGTGAAACCTTTTTCTTCGTCTTCCTCTTCCGCTTGGTGGCGGCGGCCCGGGGTGCCGTGGAGCCGCTCCGGCCGCGGCCCCGGCCGCTGGAGGTGGACGGCAGACCGCTCCCCTAAGATGGCACGCCAGGTCAGCCGGACCGCCCTTACACCCGCCGCGCTCTCACCACCACCGCACGGCCGGAGACACTAGGTGAACACCACCCTTGATGAAAATCCATCCGTCGTCCCGTGGTAAAGCACGCGTCACACAGACAACACTTCATGATGTCAACATATAACACAAGCTCATGCAAGCAGAATACATCGTACAAAATAGCAAAGCACGCTGTACTAGTGGCACAAAGAAGTCTAAGCCTGTAGAGCAGAACAGTGGTACAGAGGTGGCCCCGACCGCAGCGCGCCCTACGTACGGCAGAGGCAGTGGTGGTGGCGGTGGCGCCTCGGCTGCGCGGCAGGCGGGAGGCGATCCGCTCGCTGAGCCTGGTGCGAGCCACCGGCCGGACCGAGCGGAGCAGGCGGGGGCCGGCCCGCAGCAGAGGGAGCTCAGAGTCATAGTCCGGGTCATCCAGTAGGTCCAGCACCTCCTCCTGGGTCACACCCACCTGCAGATACATTGGCATGCTAACACATGTAGTAGGCCTGCAGCTCTTCATGGGTCGCACCGCACTAGCAGAACTACCGGACATCCTGACCTCTCGGGCTACAGTCCCCGCCCATGGACAGGGATATGACAATTAGCACACTTGCTCGGGTGGTGCGTTCTCCTGCTGCCTAAAGTCCTGAACATCCCAAATCAGTGCCAGGCCGGGTCAGGACCAGACAATTGTCGGGCCGGCACCGTGCTACATCGGGACAGGACCATGCCTGGCCGGGACCGGGACTGTACCGAGTCGGGACCGGGACCGTGCCAGGTCGCGGCAGGGACCGCGTCTGGCCGGACCGCAGGCCAGCAGCCACTGACCTCTGCGGCCAGCAGGCGCGGGTCGGCCCGGAGCGGGGCGCACTCGGGGCAGAACCACTCGTCGACCGGCACGGCGTCCAGCGGCGGCTCCAGACAGTCCAGGTGGTAGCCGGCGTCGCAGCCGTCGCACAGCAGCAGCCGGTCCTCCCGATCGCAGCGGCCGCACACCTGACGCGGGCCGACGGTCAGTCCGACGGCCGGGGGTGACTGCGACGTCACGGTAGAGGCGCCGCCGGTCACGTGGCGCCTCTGTGGTATCAGTGACATCCCTCCGCCGTGTACTGACCCGCCATAGTATGTAACGAGTTTGCTGCAGAGCAGAGCCGTCTTATTTGAGACGTCCGGCGAGTACCTCGCAATAGACAGGATCGTCCTCCTGTGCCTCCTCCAGCATGTCCCGCTTGTCGACGGTCACCTGGCGCACGATCTTGCCGCCCGGCGTCTTGCGGACCAGCACCAGCGAGAACGGCTGCCGGTCCACTGGGCACGTGTTCACGTTCTGAAAGATAACCACGCCATCCATGTCACACGTGTGATCGCGAACGCCCGACGAGATTCTTGCCGTAACTGATACCGATCTCGGTGTTCTTATTTTTGTCACTTACAGATATATCTAACCAACAATCAGTTCCACACATATTATTGCAAGTCATAAATATGGATAGGTGGGGGTGCTCATGCTCCCTCCAAAATGGTGTGTATCATGCTCATACATGGACACATCATGCATGCACTAATGTTCAGTAAATGCGGACAATTTTCGCCACACTTGTAAAATTCAATATCTTATTTTAACTAGTAAACTGACTAATGAGCTAAGCTGTCAAAACACATCCAAAAATGTTATGCTGGAGGACAAATTTTTCGCCATGCCTTGGCCCACTCCAGGATGTGATCCAGACAGAAGTTGTGGTCGCAAGACTCTGGGTTGCCAACTTCCTGCCCCCTGAAGCGCGAGAGGCAGATGGGGCAGACATCGGCGGTGCCAGCGCTGCCCGACGAGCTGTCCGAGCCGGCGTCGCTACCGCTGCCCGAGCTCTCATTGCCGCTCTCTTCCCCGCCGTCATCACTCTCTGAGGCTGCAGAGTGGACACATGTGGGTTTACTGCTCACATAAAGTCACAAGTCACAGACCATTTCACCTCTGGCACATGACTGTTGATGATGGTGATTACAACTGATACCAACAGTCATATATGGTGCATGGGTGTCAATGTGCACACACACATGAAACAAATGAAATGGCAACAGTGAAATGTGGTATGACTATAAACCATATTCTGGTTGAGCAAGTGCCCTATTTTCCACCCAAAAAAAAAGAATCCTGTGCTCACTGAAATCACAAGCTACTGCTGAGCAGAACATGTGGTTGTAACACTCTAAGTGTCTTCATTTATCCACCATTACATAAGTGTTGTAAAATAAGAATATAGTCCTCATTAGCCTTTCAAAATATTTTCAGCATGATGTGACATACCATCACTGCCAGATTCTTCAGATTCATTGTCTGAAGATTCAATCACATTGTTTAAATTCTTTTGCACTCCTCCCACACCAGAGTCAGACCCTTCATCTGCCATTTTCCTGAAAAAAAATAGGTCTTCTTAGGGATGATCTGTGAATAGGTGATAATGTTACATACAGATGTGATGTGAAACAGGATACCATTACTTCATCTCTTTATGCTAGATCTTGTGTGTAAAGCTTACAGGCTGAAATGAATCATTAATACAACAAATTATGGGAGGCCCATGGTGCCAGTTAAATATCAACCATAATTTGTGGGCTAATTGCATTATATACACATAATTAATAGTATATCAATGATCAACAATAGTATATCAACAATCAACATGATGTAACTAGCAGAACATTAACTGCCCATTCCAATGGTCCTATATGCTGAACTTTCCCTTCCTTCCCTGTAATGGGAGGGGATCCAAAGCTCAGCAAACACCTATCAAGCAATCAAAGGAGCTGTGTGCTCACATCAGAAATATTGGCCATAGAGGAAGGAGGAAAAGCTGGGCCCTATGACCCAGGCCTTTGGGCCTGGTTAAAGGGCATGGAGACATGTTTGGACTGTGGACAAGTCTGAGATATTATATTCATTTGAGCCTCCTTCTCTGTGCAAACTGGCCTGCAGCACTCAGGATGTGTTTACAGTGAGCTTAATAATAATGAGCTTATGCCGTCAATGTTACTCATAATATCATACTCTATACCTTCTTATATCTTTTAACATTCACCTGAACCCAGAAGACAGGTTTTAAGTGATGCTACACAGGAACTTTGCTGGGTGCACATCTCTTTATGGTCACTTCATCAACAGTACCAGAGAGACATCCACAATGAACAAGTCAATTCATAATTGGGTCAATTTGCAAGCCCAGGATCAATATGAGGTAAAGAAAATGTGTACTATATTAAAACAACATGATTAGCAATTACCATTCTTAGGAACACATACTGTGTGTGAACACAACTGCTAGTGTCCCATATGTATAGTCATTGTCACAAAATTTACAAAAACCTGAACAGAAAACTTGTCATACCACATGCATCCTATAGAGATTCTACATAACATCATGCAGCACAGAACATCATTGGCCTGCTGCCAACACATGCTAGGATAGATGGCACTCCTGGTTGCATGATGACAAAATTTAATATGTTTAGTAGCCCATCTACAAGATCACCAACAACAATTTTGTAGGCCCAAATTCATTTACAACAGACACAATTGTGAACCACCAGACTTTCTCCTGAACAGACCCTTTGATACAGTAATGGCGCAGCAACGAAGGGGCAAAACACCGGCGAATTCTACAGGGAAAAGGCAGCAAAAAAGTATTAACGTCGGAACATAAGTAACATTATTGTCTTCATTTCAGGGCATACCTAGCAACTAATGCTACTCTCTACTATCATCAGCATCCACAAACGCCCGGATATTACTTGCCAGCCCAATCGCCCCTCACCACCCTCCACTTTCGTCTAAGATTAATCTCAGGTACAAATGAGATAAAATTAGCGGTCAGCTGCTGTTGGTACTTGGGTGCCATCAGCGCTAGTTTTTGTCCACATTTTTAACAGCAATCAGAAGTTTAAAGTGAGCAAAAAATCAAAGATACAAGCCAAAAATATGTATTTTAAATCTAACCAAAACTCAATCAGTAGATATAAGCGTAAGAAAATATAAGTGTTTCTCGCAGTAAAGGGCTTAGTAAAGCTTCACTTAATAGTGTTAGCTCGACAGTTGATTCACTAGTGTTTCTAAACCGCTTTTTAAAGTTTTTTTTCAAAGTTTTTTGTTTTATGCTTTATGACACCACTTCCGTGATAAATAAAAAAATCACACCTTAAAATAAACACGCAACAGCTGACTGCGGCACCTAATAACGGCGGCGGTTGGTATCAGTGGGATCAGTCTCGTGAATAGACTGAGGTGGGGGTTGCGCAAGGCGGCGTCAAGGTACTAGAAATGCGATTTTAGGTTTCGACCCTGTCTAGTAATCATTTGTGTCTTGCGGGCCGTGTTCCCCTGCTTGCTCCGTTGTTTATGCGTGTAAACTTTTGCATGTGTTGTGGCTTGTAAAAGCATGCAAAAAATTATGGAACTTCTCTATTGTGTGAACCATGGTAGTACACTAGCGGGACACTGTATGCCATACTTAAGGTCAGCCCATTTTTCTTGACATAAGCTTGTCACTTTGGGTGCACAAAATGGCCTAGGACAAAAGATAAGCTAAAGGATTGAGTGTAAGATAAAAGATATTTAATTGAGAAAAGATAGAAGATAAATAAGCATGTCGTGATAGAATCGTCACATGCCTCCCCACAAATACGGTATAAATGTTTGAGCTGCATTTGTGGTAGCAATCTTGCTGCCAAATCTTCATTTGAGTCTCAGATATTTGTTGGTTGTTCCTTGATTCTGTCCAGTCATGTTAATTTGTTATGTTGTGCACACAAATTATTTTGGTGAGTCATTTACTTTAATTTTGGTCTGGCAGATTTTTATTTTGAAAAAAATGGCAAGTTAGTTGTTTCAAGCCAAGATTACGCTGGATGATTTGGTTTAACAGGGCACAGTAGTTACGAGTTTCCCAGTTTGCATCAAACAACAGAATGGCTGAGCTAAGCCATGCTGAGCATTCTGACAAGAATTTCATGGCTGTTTCAGCATGGGATCTATGAACTTTCAAAGCAAGTTTCAGGTGGCACCACCAGACAAAGGCAGCTTTCCCTTAGACCATGAGGGTGAATGTAAGAGGTTCATGCTGAAGTATATGGTCTGTCTGGGCCGAAACGACAATGACAACACACGCTGCCGTGTGGAGGCCAAGGACTACCTGGGCTGCCGCATGGACCATGATCTGATGGCCCGCGAGAGCTGGCAGAAACTGGGCTTCGCGGATCTGCAGAACAAAAGTGATGGCAGCAAAGAGTAGTTGTGTTTTTCATTTCTAGGCGTGCTTCAGCTGTCTGGTCGGAGCTGTGGTAACCCCACCTGGTCTGTTGGGTGGGGCAATGGCCGGCGCCGAGTCGGAATCTGCCGCCGGAGACTGGCATGTGTTGCTCTGCTGCACGGGCAGCGTGGCCTCGCTCAAGGTGCCGGAGCTGGCGCGGCGCCTGCAGGCCGGCCCAGCCGACGGCGGACGGGCCGTGCACCTGCGTGTGGTCAGCACCGAGCACGCGCGCCACTTCTTCTCTCCGTCCGAGCTGCCGAACGGCGTGGCGCACCTGAGTGACGCCGACGAGTGGGCCGCCTGGCGTGCGCGCGGCGACCCTGTGCTGCACATTGCGCTGCGTGAGTGGGCCGACCTGCTGCTGGTGGCGCCGCTCAGTGCCAACACGCTGGCCAAGCTGGCGCACGGATTGGCCGACGGCCTGGTGGCCTGCGTGGCGCGCGCCTGGCCCCTCGGCCGCCGGCCGGCGCTCGTCTGCCCGGCCATGAATACCGAGATGTGGCTGCACCCGGCCACGGCGCCGCAGCTGGCCACGCTCGCCGGCTGGGGCTACACGGTGGCGCCGCCTGTCGAGAAGACGCTCATCTGCGGCGAGACGGGCGTCGGCGCCATGGCGCACCTCGAGGACATCTGCAGTCGTGCGTTCGAGCTGCTCAGGGAGCGCGACCAGCGACCGGGCGGTCTATAACGGACCGAGGGTACGTGCGTAGGGAGGGTGCGCCGGCACGGCACCGGTGGTGGACGGCAGTCACCGCTACGGCAGCGGCGGGCAGCCCGCGGCCACGGCGCCGTTGCACCATGGGCGACTGTGCTGTGTGGTGCTGTACGCGACCACTCCCAGTGATAGTGCTGCCATCGCCGCCGGTGCGGTGTGCTCGAAGAACCATTTAGCTGCATGCCACAGGTTGAATGTGCAATTGGTTTGGGTCCAGCATGATTATTACTCCAGCCTTTGAGTGACTACGGGCGTGTGAATCACGAACGGTTTGAGGAAGCCGGTTTGTGAGGTTAGGCAGGCTGGCAGTGGTCTGTTAGTCTCGTTATGAGTTCGATCTGGCGAACAGACGACTGGCTGGTGTGATATACAGGGTTGAGAGGGTCGTTGCGTTTGTGGTGCAGTTTCACCAGGTGATGTCGGTGTTTAGTGGACGTGATTCATTGCGCCGCCCAGCACCCTGGTTCAGCCGTCCAACGGATGCTCCACGCTTGGTGCTGCATTATTGTCTGGTTCGATAATATCTACTTTGGAAATGCACACACATCGAACTCTTTGCGATCTTTGGTATTGTATAATGTGCAATGCATATAACAAATGCATACTTATTAAAACAATCAAACATCACATCGCACGGGCACCGGAGTAATTGCTCAATCATTCACAAACTCTTAACACGTCTGATCAGCGACCGCCACAAGAGCACAGGTACATGGTGAAGAATGGACGCCATATCCTCCGATGCGGGACAGGACGCCGTGAGAAAATAGATACCAAAGCATCCCAGGAAAAGACGTCACCGCAAATAGAGCATCCTCTTTCGGACCAGAGAGCTCCGGTCCGATTCCCGCGCGGGACGGCCGCGAACAGAGCAATTCCGGTCAGGTTCCCGCGCGGGACAACAGCGAACACAGCAGCTCCGGTTTCGATTCCCGCGCGGAAGAGCAGTTGACAGAGCAGCTCCGGTCAGGTTCCCGCGCGGGACGGCCGCGACCATCGATGGCGGTCCAAGCCTAGGGAATGTGGCCAACACAGTACACCAGCCGGCGCCGGCCCTTGCCTGCAAACGAAGCCGGCGACCCGGCCGCACGGCCACGCAGATGTAAGAGTCCTGGGAAATCTAGACGCTACGGCAGCCAATAACTCCGAGACGGCTAAGCGCGAGAGGTACGTGGGGAGTAGTCCAACGCGCAAACACCTCTAAATCGTTGCCACGGTGGCGGATGATCGCCGATGCGGGAGGTCGAGTTGCTGATGAATCTGATCGGACCGCAGATGAGTCGGAGTGACACAATGGACCGGATGCGCACCAGCAGCGCTCTCTTCCCCCGGCGGTGAAGATAACGCTGAATCTCGCAAATCTCCAACGAACACTTGGCATCGAAGGCACCGGACCAGCGAAGCATTATAAAAATAACACGCGACCCGACGTGCACGCCGCTCAGGCTGGGACACGCGGGATCTGGTGTATCACCGCGGACACGAGGTTGGTCAGACCACACCCTGTCCCGCGGCAGTCCCAGGCGCTGCCGGCGCCCGGCGCGCGCTGCCGGTTGTGACCAGCCCGTGCAGAGCACCGGGATCCGGGCGTTGGCTCCCTGCCGTCGTCTCTCCGCCGGATGCAGCAGGTCAGAGCGGGCGTCTCACTGCTCACCGATGACGTCCTGCGGCGGCAGCGATGACTGCACCACCCAGCCGACCAGGTTTTGCAGCTGGCCCACCAGCGTCTCGTTCTCCTGCAGCGCCAGCCAGACGTCGGCCTGCGCCACCTCCAGGTCGCCGAGTCTGCGAGGGGGGGGGGGGCAGACAACGGTCAGGCGGATGAGCTGTTTGCGGAAGGTGGACCGTCTCAGGCACGGAAGCGCGCGCCGACTTGGAACCCACAAAGGTGTCCAAATATCTCGTGGCAGCAAGAGTCGCTGCGCTACCGACAAAAACCATGTTAAATGTATCACAATCAATGTGCTTGGTCAATTGGAACATCAGTAGGGTATTCAATAGCCAGATGCCCGCATTTGTCATTTCCATGACGCAGCGACGGTGGGTGCCTTGCTTAAAGAAGAGAATGACACGGAGAGTAGATAACTGTACAGGCGCCAAATCGGGGAACAGATGGCATCAATGTAGGCACGCACATACGCAATAGGCACGCCAAAGCCACTCGGCTTTGTCGAACACAAAACACCGCGCAAGGGCCGACACCACCCCGTCACCGCCCAGAACACGTGATCGGCGGCGTTCGGTCGGCACGGGCCCGGTGGCCGTCCTGCCCTCACCCGGTTGACGAGGTGGCGGCCGGCCTCCTTCTGCACGTTGCCCGAGCGTCGGACGGAGGCGGGCCGGGCCGGGCCGTCGCCGCTGATGGGCCTCACGCAGTCGGCGTACCGCTGCTGCACCTCGCCCAGCCGCGCCGCCAGCTCGTCCAGCCGGCCCTCCAGCTGCACCAGGTCCGTCGACGCGATCTCCTTCTTGATGTACTTGGTCTGCGCCGTCCTGCGGCCGCCGGCACGCCGTCACACGCCCGCCTGCAGCGCCGAGCCCGGCGTGCGGCCGCGTACGCGGTGACGGTGCACACACAGGCCTTGTGCATGTGCTGCACCGTGTTACGCCGGGTAGTGAGCACGCGTGCAGTGTCAGGCACGCTTCGCACACGCGGAACTTCGATGGGCGTATGCCCGTCACACATGTAAGCGCCACATCACCCTGGGCCGGATCAATACCACATACACACCACGATGGGCTGCGCGCTTATGCCCTTGATCAGAACATGCGTCGCCGAAGGAGAAGTGGAACGGATAGCCGCCTCACACCAGTGACTGATGACAAAATCGACACAGGATGCAGTCCCCCGCCACCAATTATTCAGAACTCGTCAGCTGAAAATTGATCCACATCTCAATAATGCAGCCGAATTATTCAGCGCGTTTCGATTTTCTGGTAGCATCCATGTGCTCTGGCCCTCGCGCATTATCTCGACCATCATCTCCTGCGCCTGCCCGCTTGGCAGGGTGCGAGGGCGGGCTGCTGCGCTGCACGAACAGACCCGGCCCGGGCGGTGGCTGGCGGACCAGCTGGCGGCGCCTGCGGGAGGGCCTGTGCTGCGCGTGTCACTCACTTGTACCAGTCGGAGAGCAGCTCAGCCATGGAGCTGCGGGTGGGCATCACCTCGCCGTCCAGCAGCGCCTGCAGCGACTTGCTCGTACCCATCAGCTTGATCTTCTCCAGGTGGTGGAACTGCTCGTCGTTGTACGTTAGAGCTGAAACAGAACGCTTGGTCAACATGGTGGCTACAGCGGCTCATTGTCAATTACGGTGATTATGCGCTGTCAGCCGTGTCAGGTTAGCGAGGCACCGCATTGGCCAACACAGCTTACTCAGCAGATTTCGCTATGCTGGCAACGGCTCATCGAGTTGAAGAAGGCTTCAAGATGTCAGACATTGCAGTCCAAATGAAACATTATGAGAAATGTAATGGCCGCCAATAGAAGAGACGGACAAAACGCTAGGGCTTTTGAACGATACAGAGGGCCACAGACTGCACGCTATCGCCACAAAAGGCGGCCTCTGTAAGCGACCGGTGAGCTCGGGGATCTATCTTCCCCTCGGGCCATTCTGCGGGGAACCCCAACTGCGGCTGTCCAGTCCGGCTTTTCAGAGCGTCCGCGCTGGACAGACCGCAGTCCGTCCTCAGCCCGTCTGTGCCCCGGAGGCAGGCAGGCGGTCTGACCCCCGTGGTACACTAAGGGGCGCACCAGTGGCCGCACGTTCGCCCAGACACGCGGGCCGTCCCACCCTCGCCCTTCTCCGCAGAGTCGCCGCAACCGGGGTCACAGCACCAGAATGTTGAGTGCTGTTTAACGTTTTGAGACCTTGGTAATATTCATTCAAAGAAGTGGGGATGAATAACAACTTAATCACAGTTTGATGGAAGCTCAGAAAACAGTTGAACCCACATACTACTCATTCCTGATCATCAGCGTGAGTTTTTGGTAAAGCCTAAGTTCACGTTGATGAGTGCCAACATCTTCGCACATCTAGGATTGTGGGTGATGAACACTGCTTTGGGAAGGACCTCCGCACACTGGAAAATACCGGAGTGTGGTGTTGTGTCCTGTGGCACCGGGAATGATTCGCAGCTCCCTGCTGGTTTTAACTAATTATTAGAAACTGAACCTGTTATTCAAATAGGATTTAGCTTTACAAAGGAAAATTCACCTGTGACACACGGACGCGCGCAGGACATCGTACTACGTGTGCGCATATATCTACATTTCCCCTCAACTGATCTTCTCAAGTTCATCTTTTCCCCTCCGCTCTGACCAGCCCCACTCAAGCCCCGATCTCGGGAGGTGGGTCGACTGACCGCGTGCCGTGCGGTCGCGCAGCAGGTGCTGCCAGCTGTCGCGCAGCTTGGCCGTGTAGGTGGCGGCGCGCGCGGCGGCCGTCTTCAGCGCGGGCAGGTGCGCCACGCGGCCGCGCCAGTCCACCAGCAGGCACGTCTCGCTGACGATGCGCCGGTGCAGCTCCGGGATGTTGGTCTCCGAGAGACTGCGCTCCCGCTCCGCCACCTGGCCGAGACAGACACCGGCGCCGGCGCCGCTCAGCACGCGCCCGCGGCGCACCGGCGGCCGGGCCGGCCAGAACGGCTCCACCATGTGCCCGAGAGGGCGCAGACACCGGTAAGGCAGTCTCTCAGATACGGCCGAGGGGTGGCCAGATGGGCAAAACCCACAAATGCATTAAAAATGAGCCTGATCTCCGAAAAAAAAACACTAATACGGGTGCAGAGCCTCTCTCCAGAGCGACGTTAACCTGCGCTCCTGTCCCACATCACATCCCCGCCGGCAGCGCCGCGCGGGGGGACCATCCGCCGGCCGGCCGCCCTCTCACCGTCTTGAGCATCTCCTCGAGGCTCCTGACGGGCTCGGCCAGCTCGGCCAGCGCCTGCGCGGTGGCGCGCTGGGCCGGCTCCAGCTGGCGCAGCAGCGCCGCGCTGGTGCGCTGCGACACGGCCAGCAGCGACCACTGGCGGCCCAGCGTGGCGCTCAGCTGCTGGCTCGCCTCCAGGCTCTCCTTCAGCCGCGTCAGCTCTGTCTTCAGCACCAGGCTGGCGGCCAGACGGCGAGCGCTGGTCAGGCCGACGCACCCACTCCCCGGACGCACGCGGCCGGCCAACGGCAGGGTCGCGTGCGAGTACAGCCAAACGCAACCATCACCGGTGACTGCAACGGAACGCTGTACATTCTGAGCAGTTGGGTTCCCCAAACGATATCTGCTTTAGGTTTGGGCATCGCGCGCAAGAGACCAGTCGGCCTGCGAGCCTCTGACATCAGTGGGCGTGGCCGCCGAGGTCGGACTCACGTGAGCATTCTGACGGCGTGCTCCATCAGCGCGCAGGACATGCTGTACGAGGTGACGCGCCGCTTGAACTCGTAACCCACGCTGCACGCCATCTTGGCCAGGATGGCGTCGTTCTCCACGCTCAGTGTCTGGGGTATCGTCGGGAATTTCGCTGAAAGAAAACAACATTTGCGGTCACTTCCCGTTTAACAAACACGAACCCATGTCTAAGGTGTGCGTGTCTGCATACCAGATCCTTTGTAAGACTTTCATCCTCGCTAAGTTTCTCGTGCCCTGAACCACTAAATGTCAAACATTCGACTCACGAGTACAGGCAGCCTGAGGCCAGCTACGTTTTAGACACTTCAGTAACACGCAGTCCGACAAACACATTCCGGCACGGCCCCCAGACGACAGCGTCCGCGAGGCTCCTGCCCGATCGCAGGCCCGAGCGGCGCTCCCCCAGCCAACCGCCGTCCGCGAGGCTCCTGCCCGATCGCAGGCCCGAGCGGCGCTCCCCCAGCCAACCGCCGTCCGCGAGACTCCTGCCCGATCGCAGGCCAGAGCGGCGCTCCCCCAGCCAACCGCCGTCCGCGAGGCTCCTGCCCGATCGCAGGCCCGAGCGGCGCTCCCCCCAGCCAACCGCCGTCCGCGAGGCTCCTGCCCGATCGCAGGCCCGAGCGGCGCTCCCCCAGCCAACCGCCGTCCGCGAGGCTCCTGCCCGATCGCAGGCCCGAGCGGCGCTCCCCCAGCCAACAGCCGTCCGCGAGGCTCTTGCCCGATCGCAGGCCCGAGCGGCGCTCCCCCAGCCAACCGCCGTCCGCGAGGCTCCTGCCCGATCGCAGGCCCGAGCGGCGCTCCCCCAGCCAACAGCCGTCCGCGAGGCTCTTGCCCGATCGCAGGCCCGAGCGGCGCTCCCCCAGCCAACCGCCGTCCGCGAGGCTCCTGCCCGATCGCAGGCCCGAGCGGCGCTCCCCCAGCCAACCCGTCCGCGAGGCTCCTGCCCGATCGCAGGCCCGAGCGGCGCTCCCCCAGCCAACCGCCGTCCGAGGCTCCTGCCCGATCGCAGGCCCGAGCGGCGCTCCCCCGAGCCAACAGCCGTCCGCGAGGCTCCTGCCCGATCGCGGCCAGAGCGGCGCTCCCCCAGCCAACCGTCCGCGAGGCTCCTGCCCGATCGCAGGCCCGAGCGGCGCTCCCCCAGCCAACCGCCGTCCGCGAGGCTCCTGCCCGATCGCAGGCCCGAGCGGCGCTCCCCCAGCCAACCGCCGTCCGCGAGGCTCCTGCCCGATCGCAGGCCCGAGCGGCGCTCCCCCAGCCAACCGCCGTCCGCGAGGCTCCTGCCCGATCGCAGGCCCGAGCGGCGCTCCCCCCCAACAGCCGTCCGCGAGGCTCTGCCCGATCGCAGGCCCGAGCGGCGCTCCCCCAGCCAACCGCCGTCCGCGAGGCTCCTGCCCGATCGCAGGCCCGAGCGGCGCTCCCCCAGCCAACCGCCGTCCGCGAGGCTCCTGCCCGATCGCAGGCCCGAGCGGCGCTCCCCAGCCAACCGCCGTCCGCGAGGCTCCTGCCCGATCGCAGGCCCGAGCGGCGCTCCCCCAGCCAACCGCCGTCCGCGAGGCTCCTGCCCGATCGCAGGCCCGAGCGGCGCTCCCCCAGCCAACCGCCGTCCGCGAGGCTCCTGCCCGATCGCAGGCCCGAGCGGCGCTCCCCCAGCCAACCGCCGTCCGCGAGGCTCCTGCCCGATCGCAGGCCAGAGCGGCGCTCCCCCAGCCAACCGCCGTCCGCGAGGCTCCTGCCCGATCGCAGGCCAGAGCGGCGCTCCCCCAGCCAACCGCCGTCCGCGAGGCTCCTGCCCGATCGCAGGCCCGAGCGGCGCTCCCCGAGCCAACGCCGCCACCGGCCGCCAACACTCACGCAGCGGCACCACGCGGCACGGCGTGACGTCATTGTTCTCCTTGTCGAACAGCACGAGCGGCTGGTCGGCGGCGATGGCCGGGTACTCCGACACAGGCGTGTCGGTAGCCACCGCCTCCAGCAGCGGCTGGCCGTCCAGCAGCAGGATCTGGCTGGTGGCCGCTATGCTCGTCTGGCTGGCCACCGCCGACTGCAGCGCTTCGTAGCTGTGGTGGCAAAAAAAAAAAACAGCACGTCAGTTCCACCCACGGACGCACACTCCGTCTGGGAAGTTTATTGCATGACCGCAGGTGGTCCACAAATATACACGAATCAAAATCGTGGGCAATACATGCATACAAAACAATCTGCAGAGGGTAATAAGATTATCAGAATGCTTTGGCAGGTATGTGAAGTTCCTCTTTAGAAAGCTTCAAAGCCCATGTCTCATCGATTGGCACAAAATTGTGAGGAACCGCCGGATAAGGGAATGGGGTGGCAGTTAACTTAATGGTGGCTCCACATCTGCAGATAGTGCGCTATGGTACCGCAGACCATGAGCTGAATGCCACCAGACGAACTAGCTCGCTTGATAACATGACCATGTGATGGCTGCAAGGTTAAGGAAGGAGGAACAGCTACCTAGACAGGTCTTATGTTAAACACACAACCCAGACATTTGTGAGCGCAGCTACAGCCACCTGTCAACATAGCAGGCGAGAGCCGGCGTCTCCTCCCCCGCCCACCGACCTGGCGTCCGTCGTCAGGTACAGCCGCAGGTGCTGCAGCTGGTTCACGTGGAACACGGGCACGCAGCGGCGGGACGTCATGGCCGTCACCTCGTTGAAGAAGCGGTCGAAGTTCCACATGACGTGTGGATCCACCTCCAGCAGGCCGGCCAGCAGCGGCGTCACCAGCTCCTTGGCGCCGCTGCCGGGAGGCAGGAGATGTGTCAGCGGGGCGGTCAGAGGTGCCCCGCTCTGGCAGTGGAGGAGGGCAGCCTACCACTGGACGGGACACCCACTCTGACGCCTCTCAGTTCAGTGGAAATTCTTAATGACTTCACACTTTTCACTTTATTTGTTTCGTTGGGTTTAAAAAACTACAAAGCACGAGAAGTTGAATGCTTCGAAGACATTCACTCGGTTAATACACCCAAGAAACGCATTATTATAGATTCTATCAGCTCCGCAGCAGTTTCATTCGCTAGTCAACAATGGAGCAATGATCGACTCTCCCACTTACGCGAGTGCCTGACCTGTACGAGGCCACACCGCGTCCATAGCCGCCAGATCGCCATCTCTCAAGGAGCGGCAGCGACCTCGACCTAAGCGTCGACCGTCACAAGCCTGGTGAGAGAGCGCCGTCCGGTACTCACAGGGACAGCTGACAGGTGTCTGGCAGCTTCTCGCCCCACTCGATTTCACCGCCTTCCGTGGTCTGGATGCCAGAGATGATGCCTGAAGTGCAGCGAAACAGAATATTTTGGTTACTAGTGAAGTCAAACGTAAACTGGGGCGCAGCACACCGTCTGTTTGGCAGAACAGAGCTTATCCTTTCACGGCATGCGCGGAAAAGCAAACAAAATGCTGCGCTTCGACGACCACCTGAAACCACATGGTGGCCTCCCCAACATGGCCTGTTCATTTTAAGTAACAGCGCACCCTTCCATGTCCGGCGACCGCGTTGACGTCCCCTCAACGTCAGCCCTGCTGCAGTGACCGCCGCCCGAAACCCCGCCCGGCTCACCGGGCTTCTTCTTCGTGGTGATGACGTGCATGGTCTCCTTGTTCTTCCTGCCGCCGTACGGCCGGAAGGGCAGCTGTCCTGTGGCCACGTGGAACAGGGTGACGCCGATCGACCACAGGTCGACAGTGGCGCGGAAGGTCTTGCCAGCCGACTTCCTGAGCACGGCGCGCTCGTACATGTCCGGGTGCTGCCGGCAGCGACGTGCCCGTCAGCCGCCACGGCCGCCCGGCAGGTTCCCCTCACACATCCCCACCAACCCGGTCCGGCCTGCACAGGTCAGTCCCTGCTGGGGTCCGGTCCATATCGCTCAGCCACGGCGGCCGCGTCAGCGATGAACGGAGCAAGAGGCCATCGGTGCCGCAGAGCGACAAGAACTGGTCACACGCCCCTCGGCACGCAGTGTCGGGCGACGACTGACCAGGTACTCCTCGGTGCCGTACAGGGACATGAACTGCTGGTCGTCGTCCAGCTCCCGCGCAGCGCCGAAGTCGGTCAGCTTGTAGATGGTGGAGCCGTCCACGTCGATGTACTTCATGATGTTGCCCGGCTTCAGGTCCCGGTGCACCAGGTTCAGGTCGCGCAAGTGCTTCATGCCGTCCGCTGCCCGGCACGCCCTACGTTATGCCTCCTACCACCGCTTCACAGAAAGCACAGCCATGCAGGCATCATCGAACTATGTGCAGAAATAGACTTTGCTATATAAAGCATACAGTCTGTACTGCACGTTTGACTATGTATTCGTCATCAGATCAAGTGCATAACGTTAAATATTTTACACCGTTCACATTTACAGTTAAATGACCACAAAACACGGCATTTAAATCGGCACATTCGCACAAGCGCGATTTTTTCTAGGTTTCAAACAGATCCCAGCATTTCCTACATGTTCTTTGCCTTCTAGGCTACCTAGGGCGAGTCCTTCTCACAGAGCTATTCCGGGCGTGGGAGGCTGAGTAATAAGGTATTGTGGTCTAGATATGGTTCAACAGAAAAAAGAAAACATGGGTTCGGTTCCTAACCCCATCCTATACAGTTTGCAATGGCCAGAGGCCCACAGTTTGTACCAGGTTTGGCTATGCCCATAACAACAGCAGTTTCTTGAGCTCGTGAATAAACCGACAATATAATAACCATAGCCAAGTGTGCAGTTTAACATTGATATTTGACATAAAGGCAGACCCACGCAGGAATTCGGAGCACGACACGGGCCGGTGGCCCAAAACGACGTTCCTCTCACTGACCAGGCATGACCAGGCATGACAGTGCAATGTATGAAAACAATGGTCCACACAGCTCAAGAATATTGCAGGCTTATTGTTTTCACCTTCAGTACAACCCACTTGGCAATGGCAACAAGCCTTCAGCTGAAATGATCCAATCCCACCATACTGGAATATGCAATAGCGCGGCCAAACATCGCTATGGTAGTCCTGTGACACTCACAAAGATGTCTCAGGACCAAGAAGAACTCCTTCTCATCCAGCCCGTATGCGTTCTCCGGGTCGTCCAGCATGTTGAACAGGCTGCCACCAGTGCACAACTCCATCACGATCACCTTCCCGCGGCCCTCTTGCTGAAAATGCGGTGCATACCGTCATTACAGGCCATACTGGACATGGTTTTAATGAAGAAGCTCCATCCATTGCAGTGGTGAAAGTCGTGATTGTATACTATCATTGCACAGATGACACGTGAACTATGTACAAAAATGGCCAAATATCCTTGGAGGCACAGAGAATGAGTCACTGCATTCTCAGACAATCCCAAACACCAGTCAGCTAAGACCACTGACAATTCCAGCAGCTAGTCCTCGGCTTGACGCACCTCCTCCTCTATCGCCAGAAGTTTGACGATGTTCTTGTGGTTGACCTTCTTCAGCACGTCGAACTCGCGCATCTGCACCTCGTGAGGTCGCATGTGGCTCAGCTGATTGAAGGTCTTCACGGCTACCGGCTCGCCATTTTGCTGGTATGAAATCATATAGCGAAATGGTTACATTGCATGCAATAAGAGGCTCAAAATGCATTGCCTCCTTCCACAACTTAGCCCTCCCACATTCATGACACCAAATACGGCAACATCGGTTTTGATTTCAACTCCAAGGCAACCATGAAAGAGGTTGTTAGGGCTGTTGTTTGGGGTCATTTGTGAGATGTTTAAACAAAATATGCAAATACCTATAGATTGGGGTCATTCATTCCATGTTAAAAAATGTGTGCATGCCTATAGGTTGGGTCATTTATGTGCAAAACCGTGCAACTGGCAATATTTACCAAAAAACATACTGATATAGTTTTCTGCAATGTTTTGGACTGGATATTGGTACAGAATGTACAATAATCAAACTATTGCCCTTGTCATCCAAATGTCACAAATGCCTTTGGCAAGGATGATAACCAAAGCAATTATTTTATCTGTGTATACCCTGATGATGTGATGAAGCTTGCATGTCTATGTCATAATATGAAGTGGTTGGCACCAGTTCACGCATCCAAACTAAATATGAAAACGTTCACGCGTCACTGGAAAACTGCACTCTGGTCACTCACCTTGTTGACTCCTTGGAAGACAGCACCGGTGGCACCTTTGCCGAGCACACTGGTGGTGCACCAGACGTAGTTGGTCGATCCCCGCAGGAAGGTCATGGCTGCAGGCTCTTCAGCCGACCGAGGTCGGCCTGCGTCGCTGGTCACAGGTCAGCGGGGACGGCGAGGTGGATCTGTCGAAGCTGACCTCTACAGCCGATCAGGCCGCCCTCTGAAACCAGTGGACAAGATGCCGTACTGCAAAAGGACATTCCAGCCAACACTGTATGACTGACTGATTGATGGTACACATCAATCAATGGACCATTGTGTTGATTTGTGTAGCATGGGTGTCAGCAGAAGCAATGTGGGCATGGAGTAACAATCAACCCATTCATAGGAGCATGGCATGGCCAGTTCACAAATCATAAGCTCACACCATTTTGCATTTGAAAATATTTGGTCTTACCTTATGAATGGATGGATATCTGGAACAAGAGCTAATGCTTACCAATGCTTGTTGCGGAGCCCCTGACCCATACTATCTAGTCATTGAAATTCCAGGTATTTTAGAACAGAAGAATTTGGTGGCAAAAGTGTTATGCCTCTCAGTGCTTGGTGCAAGCCTGTCCTGCCCTCTGACACCACATGGTCTTTAGCATGATGCCCCATCAGTCAAGGGCAAACAGTGAGCACCTAAAGCAACTTGAACCCACCCTGCAGTGTGTGGTTGGATTGATAGGTAAGTACTCTAACCAACTAAGCTACCAGGACAGGCAAAGATGGGACAATGCAGAGGGACTAAGATTTAAATTTCACAGGTTTGATGGACTACTCAAACATATTCTGATCTAGTATGATATGAGGCCTAAAACAGTTTGTGGGCTGAGATTTTTAAACAAAAATGCCAGCTGCTTGCCTTGTGAGGAAGCAAACTTTGAGTCAGCAGCACAAAATGATTATGTTATGAAGCAATTATACTATCTTTTTGTTCTACAATTGTCAAAAACATTTTGTATGAATATTTGAACACATCTATGACCATTTTTGAGGGGCAGCTGCAGTTGCAGTTGTTTGTTAACTAATGCAGGCATGGACAAGGATTGGCCTGTGCATGCTCAGCGACAAGCATTTTGCCCCTTTTATGAAGCTGCTTGGTTGAACAAATGTTCTGGTGGTTGATCTGCCTTAACTACCAATTTGCCATATCTCTCCATAAGAAATACAAACAAAAATTGAGCAATCTTAGCATGCTAAGGCTTAAAATAAAGAATGGATGGGAAACACTAGGACAGCCCTCAGCTAATACATAGCACAATACAAACATTAGAAAATGGAATACACTTTTTCCCCCCATCAGCTGAAGTAAGATTATTATAACACATGTATGTTAACTCTTTTTGCTCAAGTTTCACCTCCTTGAAAACACCACTCAAATGAGCAATGAACATAGTTTATGTCACTGTCATCTATGACCATCCCAATATGTCATTAGCATTTGTACTGTCTAAAATTCTGCACTGAATATCCCGTAAGCACCATAATGACCATTGTTATCATTATGAATAGGTAGTTTTCGGGAACAAAATACCTGGTCCATAAAACATGGAGATACTGAAAAGATCTCTTTGAGGGCAAGAATGGGGTACACTGTGACAGCTTCTTAAATATGGAGCAAAAATTCCTTAAATGGGCAGCATCTGCTCCAATCATTATCATTCAGGTCATCCTGATGAAAACATTGACTATAGAACTAATCTGCTTCCACCCCACATCCAATCCAAAAAGTCTTTAGCCTGAAATTCCCTGACAATACCACAATGTTTTGACATATCAGCTCTCTAGGCAGTCAGCTTGATGACAACCATGCACAAACCTCCACAGTGCCAGGATTTTCAATGTAAATGCCCAAAAATTGCTGCTTTGAGATGTTGCTAGGCCAGACAAGTTCAGCACAAGTGGATTCACAGGCACATTCCACATGGGCAAACCACTGCCCCATCTGGACCATCACACAGACTTCCCGAAACATCCTTTCAGTCTGCCACAGTTTAAAGATGACCACTATGATAGCACTGAGATAGCCATAAATATAACATACTTTTTGCCATAAAGAGTGGGATGTGCAATGTGCAAATCGCAACATGTCAAATGACCTTCTGTTCTTAAAGTCAATGCTGGAAAATGGCATTTCCCATGCAACCAATCCTGATGCAGGAACAAAAAGATATGTCTGCTTTAAGTCTTCATTGATGCCGACATGCCCCATGAACAAGCGTGCACAAACAGTACGATCAGGAAAGATTACCTTGGCCCGTAAATGGCACCAATATCCTTGAATAACGAGCCACTTCAAATTGTCCAGCCCTGCTTTCGCAGCTGGAGAATACGGAGGGCCAAGGCCATTGAACAGAGGAGTGCGTGTAATCACCTTGAGCTGCTGGGTTGTTTCCCGTGTGTTTTCTTCGGGCACAAATTGTCTGTCAATATGGCGCATTCGGAATCATGATAGCGGCTTCCATATAACGTCACAGCATACCGTTGAAACTATTTAGTACCAACACTTTCTAAGAGGGTACTGGCGTTCAATAACGATTGGTACAGCTGAGATACGTGCCGATGTTAGTCTGGTGACAAAGCACGTATGAGCCGATGGGGGATTCCGGCGTGCTGATGTGGGATTCCGGCGACAAAGTATTGTGAGCCGATGTGGGATTCCGGCGTGCCAACGAGGGATTCTGGCATTTTTCAGCGACGATCGAGGGTGGGGTCTGTGTGATGATACTGCGGTGAGCCTTGCACCAGGCGGTTACTAACGACTGGAGCTTAATTCCGAGGTACGCGTGGTGTATGGCTGTACGATTCCGCTCATAATCGAGGGCGTCTGATCGTTCACATAACCTGCAAACTGTGTGAGGCGACCAACCTATCGGTCTCCCTTTAATATGACCGGTGATGAGCATGCATGAAACGGTGTGAACGTGTAAATGCTTGCTGTGGAATCCTAGTAAAGTGGCGTTTGCTACCCATGTTAGGACAAAATCATCTGTTTCGTAAAAGTTCATGTAATGTTGGGTGAGCCAATGTTTTCGCTGCTATTTGCAGTTACCCCAGTTCGTCGGTTATGATTATTCGCCGGTAGACGATCACTCCAAGAAGCTTTTTTCTTTCGTGACGTCGATTTCAAGTGAGTGCAGCTACTACCTCTAGAAAGGTATTTCATAAACATCATGCATTACAGAACGTCGTGTGCTAGTACGTAACTTTAAAAAAAATACGGGAGCGTAATCTAAATTATTGAGGCTAGTCAAGACGCTTGTTGCTTTTACGCAAGCTGATATGAGCCACCTTCTACTACTTATGCAATATTATATATATATATATATATATATATATATATATATATATATGTTATATTATATGTCATGTGTCATATGTTCTACAATTTGCTTCAAGTACTTTTATTTTATTGCCACCAAGTCTGCTTATGATTTCACCGAGAGTCGTTTTCTGCATTCGTTTGACGTTTGTCCGGCGTTAAATGTTAACACTTTACGGTGAACGTGTGGCCTCAGAGAGGAAGAGTGTTCAGTAGCAGAAGTCTGGACTGAATGCCGTCCTGCGGCTGGCGCCGGCTAGCTCTCCGGCGACGTTATTCCAGGCCTTCAGCAAAAAGGAATCGTGTCCTGCACAAATTCAGCCCTCCCTTTCATCCCGCATCGCATGGCCAGGGCGAGGCAGTGGTAGAAGTGGGGAAGTCCGGGATCGCCTAGCGGTTGGGAAGCAGCTTACAAACGCGCCTGTCATGATTCCTGTTCTTGTACATGCTGTACTGCAACCACGCCTCATTCGACTACAGGCCGTACCCTGGCCGAACTCTTGCTTGGTCGCCCGATGCATGGCACGATGGACCTGGTGTACTCAGACCTCACCGCGAAGATAGAGTGCCAACAGCAGACGTGGAAGGACAGCTCGGACCTGGATGCATGAGACCAACAATTTAAGGTGGGCGAGGAGATATATGTAACAGCCATTCCCCAGCTGGAGCAAAGGTGGGTGCCGGCGGTGGTGAGATCGGTCGCGGGCCCAAAGCTGTGAGGTCTGCTTGACGGACGGGCGGGTGTGCACGCGCCATCGCCCTCACCTGACTCACTACGCCCCCGCTCCGGCTGGCAATACGTAGTCAGCTGACTCCGAACCCCGCCGCCTGTTGCCGCTGCAGCAGCAGCAGCAACAGCAGCTGCAGCAGCTGCCGAAGCTTGAAAGGTTGGCCGCTCAACATGGCGCCGTCTCTGCCGCTGCTCGAGGCGCCGTTTCCCCCGCTGCACGCGGCGCCGTCTGTGCTGCCGCTGAGCGTGGCGCCGTCTCCACCCATGAACGCGCTGCCCAGTGCGTCACCTCCGTTTCAGTCTGGCCCTGAGGTAAAAGAAGCCCGCTCCCAGCGCTCCCGTAGGGTTCCGATGCAGCTGGACCTATAACTTCGCTGAGCCCCAGCGCCCGTGTAGTGCCCCGATGCGTTGCCACTTATGATATCACCGACAGTAGTTGTCTGCGTTTGTTTGACGTTTGTTGAATGTTAAGACTTTTCGGTGAACTTGTGGCTCGGAGAGACAGTGTTCTGTAGCAGGAATCTGGACTGAATGCCGTCCTACGGCTGACGCCGACTAGCTGCCCGGCGACGTTCGTGTTTACAGAGAATAAGGGCTGAGGCCAGAGGGAGCCGGGAGCGGAAGGAGTTTGTGCGTGTGTCGTTTGTGTGTTTACTTTGTTTCCGTAACAAAGTAATTACGAATGATACACCTATTCCAACCCGAATTTTAGTCATTTGAATTGCCTTCCCCGACGTGAAAGATCAATGCTTTCACCGCCCGACGTGACCACTGCGGAAAAATGACTTGTCATGTCAAGCCAATGTGGTGTTGTGACGTAACAAGTTTGGGATTGGGAGCAGTTCACAGGAAACACCTTGGTGTGAATGTTCGATAGGATTGCCGGCAAAAGGCCCCGTGTATTGTCCGATGATGGTTGTCCAAGGCGCAGTCAGTGAATCAGTGAAAGCCATTCAGGAAGCAGCTGAATGGCTTCAACAATGGCATGCTCTGTCACCAAAGCGGAAGAATGGTCGATACATGTCTCTATATGTCACCCGGGCCACGTTTGTGTCGTTTTGGCCGGTCTTGCACGCAGCCTGCACGGAGGCTCGTCTCTAAACCTGGGGTGATTCCCGGCCACGTGGCTGCCCCTGTCGGGGAAAACCCAGGAGACCTACCCGCAGGAGACCTACGCTCACGAGACCTGCGTTTTCCGGGCTTACGCTCGCGAGACCTACGCTCGCTGGACCTACGCTCAAAAGACTTACCTACACTTGCTGGATATACGCTCACGAGGCCTACGTTCGCTGGACCTACCCTCCCAAAACCTACGTTCGCTGGACATGCGCTCAGAAGACCTACTCTTGCTGGACCTACGCTCACGACGCTTACGCTCGCTGGACCCACGCTCACGAAACCTACGCTCACTGGACCTATGCCCAGGAGACTACGGCGACGTGATGTCCACATTATCGAGTCACTGTTGCCTGGCCCGTCACCACCTACCGTGGAGAGGGTGAACGAAAGCTGATATTAAAGGCACTAGATAGCGTTGTCCGCTGCTACATGGATGTGCATTGCACCTTAACACGCGCCCGGGTGGACGGCTGGATACGGTGGCGCGTCAGGAGACCTACGTCCAGGAAACCTGGGCGCCCCAGGCCTACACTCAGGAGGCCTACGTCCACGGGACCTACGCTCGCAAAGCCTACACCCAGGAGGCCTACGCTCATTGCATCTACGCCCGGGAGACCTACGCTCACGAGACCTAGGCCCACGAGACCTAGGCCCACGAGGCCTACGTCCAAGAGGCCCACGTCCAATAGGCAGAATGCAGTTGGATCTTGATGCGAACAAATAGTTTGCATGCAGGCTAGGTACTATCTACATGTTAGCAGGATCATGTGCGCTGCCTCGCACTTGGGTTTTCTTCAAGAAGACGTCACTTACTTTTCATGTATAAACAAATAGATTCCAATCATACGACCTTCTTAAAAACTGGACGATATCTCACATCAAGGATATTATTTCACAACACCATGCCATTTATACCGTAATCACTCTATACACCGTCCTACATCAGAAAACCGGTGTGGGTACCCCACCCACGTTTTCAAATCTCCAGTGCTGTTCACGAATACGGCGCTCTTCTCACGATTCTCAAGGAAGTGTGGTTCTCCAGGCAATGCGACGGCAAGAAGCACCCGAGCAGGCGCGGACGCTGCGTGCAGCAAACGCACGTCACCAATACAAAGCTGAATGGGGGCCAGAATGGATTAAGTGCCTCCGCAACAGCAACCGCAGCCAGCGTATCATCGCCTTCCAGTTAAAACTTTCCCTTCTAAACACGATGCGAGCAATAACCATTGACCCCTTGTACATGTGGTCTGGGCGGCTGGCGTCCCGCCGGCCGATGATTAGTTGCCCCTAGTCCAACAACGGATCTCCCGGCAAGCTAGAAGAAACACCGACAAGACAAACGTAGCATGTGTGCATCCGTGTAAAAATACCCAAGCTGTGACGACCGTCTGATCGCTTTCGAGTCCATACTCACGCATTATGACGCGCAACTTCGGCTAGATTGCTCCAAGTCGAGTGAGGGACCTTCCGGCATGCTAGATACGGTGGCACGTGAGGAGACCTACGTCCAGGAAACCTATGCCCCCCAGGCCTACACCTAGGAGGCCTACGTCTACTGGACCTACGCTCACGAAGCCTGCACCCAGGATACCTGCGCTCACTGCATATACGCCCAGGAGGCCTACACTCACGAGACCTTTGCTCACGAGACCTGGGCCCACGAGGCCTACGCCCAGGAGGCCTACGTCCGCTGGACCTACTCTCACGAGACCTGCGCCCGGGAGGCCTCTGCTCACTGGACTTACGTCCAGGAGACCTACACTCACGGGACCTACGCCCAGGAGACCCATGCTCACGAGACCTATGCCCAGGAGACCTACACTCACTGGACCTACGCCCAGGAGACCTACACTCACTGGACCTACGCGCATGAGGCCTACGATGACATAATTCCCAAATTATCGAGTCACTGTTGGCTGGTCGGCTGCCCTTGTCGTGGGAAGGGTAAACGAATACTGACTATTAAGGGCGCGAGATGGCGGTGCCTGCTGCTCCATGGCTCTGCGTCGCATCTCAACGCCGTTACGAAAAAGTGTGTGTGTGTGTGTGTGTGAGAGAGAGAGAGAGAGAGGAGAGAGAGAGAGAGGAGAGAGAGAGAGAGAGAGACCGCATTTATAGAATTTGTAAGAAAGCGGTATAATAATGGACATCGGTGATAAGTCCATGTAAGCAGACCAAAGCATCCGGATAATTGCAACGTG